CACTTCCCAGCGCCGTTCCCCTTTCCGCGGTCGCCCCCGCCGTTCCACGCAGCAGGGCCGCCACTTCTCGCGCCGCTTCAGCGCGCTGGAGTATGGTGAGCAGGACGCTATTGCCCCATTGTCACCTTAGGGCGACCACAGCGACGACCTCGATCTCTGCGAGGCTGTCCACTATCACTTGGAAGACTAGACCCTCCCTGCAGCTGAGCGCCTTCAGCTCGGGCTCTCCGCCCTCTCTCGGGCACGCAGCCGTCCCGGTCACGCTGGCGCGTCGCCCCCCGAGGTCCCTCAGGAGGACCTCCCTCAGGGCTTCGTCCCTCCTCGCGGTGTCCTTTCCGCTTAGGAGCGCGCGACTATTCTGGGCCGACGTGGGTGTTTGCGCTGCCGCTTGGACGGTCATACCTCCTCGCGGTGCCCTTACACTACCGCCCTCGACCGCCACTACGCTGATCTTTCTCGTCAGCGTCGTGCTCAGTCCCCCCCCGGCACCTCACGTCCCCGCGGCGCCTCCTAGCCACGGTGCAGTGTACACCTGCGCCCTCCTCAGTAGTGGGCTTCCCGACATCTCCGTCGCGGTTTTCCCCTCTCGCTACTGGAGTTGAGGTATCGCAGGACTCGACAGAGTGTACTCAGCCCTCTGTCGCAATACCGTCTGCGCCTCCGCAGACCACCGTCTCCCCTCCTTCCCCGCCGCGACTACCGACGCGTCGAGCCATTCGCTCAGCCCGTTGCAGCCAGCAGCTTGCTACTTGCGAGGACGTTGTGTCCTCTCTTTTGGACTTGAGCATGCTCCAGGCTCGTCAGGAGCGACTCACCCTCTATGTCGCTGCATTGTGTCGCCTTCTCGCCATCCTCTCTGACCCTGATCGCACCCTCCCGATCATCCCAGTACGACTCGGGACCTCCACGAGGGTGTACTCAGCTCTATGGGATTCCGGTTCTCAGGGCGACTTCATTCACCCACGAGTGGTGAAGGAAGCCCGCTTACCCACGACAGGGCCTCCGACTCTCATCTCCGTTACCCTAGGGGATGACAAGACCCAGTGCTTCTTCGATCAGACGGTCACCGACCTCCCCTTCTTCCTCACTCTCGAGCCGACTGATCGTTCCCCGGCATCTCGTCGCCACCGCTCCTCTGCACATTTCGATGTGATGGAGATGGGGTACGACTTCATTCTCCGCACTCCATGGTCTCGTCGGTTCCGCAGCACCGAGGCTGATTGGGCGACCAACACTCTCGTTCTCAAAACGAAATGTGGACAGACGTATCGCGTACCTTTCATAGGTACCACGGCGATATCACGCCCCGATCCTCCTTCCCCGGAGCCTTCAGTGCCTGCACCATCCCCCTCTATCACTGTCACCTCGCCTCGGCAGTTCGCTCACTTCATTCGACAGGACGACATCACCTTCTTTATGGTGGACGTGACAGATCTCTTACACTATAATCCACCCTGTCCCGATACCGAGCTCATCCCTCTGGAGCCAGATCCTCTCTCTATCTCCATGGCTCCCATCTCTACTTCCGTCCCTCCGCCGTCCGTCGAGTCCACCCCGCCGTCGGGCGTTGACGCTGACGCTGAGGAACTCACACGATATACGGCTGACCTGGAGCCCGCAGTTCGTAACCTCATCCAAGAGTACCACGACGTTTTCCCATCGTCGTTCTCGTACGCCCGCATCCTACCGATGCGTGACGTCGAGCACTCCATTCAGCTTGTGCCTGACTATCGTGTTCACCACCAGGCACCCTACAGACTCTCGATTCCCGAGGCCACCGAACTCAAGCGGCAGCTTGAGGAGCTCCTGAGACTGGGTTTCATTAAACCCAGCAACTCCCCGTGGGGTGCACCCGTCCTCTTTGCTCGCAAAGCGGATGAAACTCTCCGTCTCTGCATCAACTATCGCGGTCTCAACCGCTACACGGTTAAGAACAGCTACCCCATGCCTCGTTCCGATGAGCTGTTCGACCGCCTAGCAGGCAACCGCTTCTTTACGAAGATTGATCTTCGTAGCGGTTACCATCAGATCCGCGTCGCTGCAGCCGACCAGCCGAAGACAGCGTTCCGATCGCGCTTCGACCACTACGAGTTTACGGTGATGCCATTCGGCCTCACCAATGCACCCGCCACCTTCCAAAGGGCGATGAACGACATCTTCAGGGACATCCTGGAGCAGTACGTTCGCGTCTACCTCGACGATATCCTGGTCTACAGTCGTACCCTTGAGGAGCACCTCAGACACCTCCGCGACGTCCTTGACCGCTTGCGCAGACATGGCTTCTAYGCCAAGCTGAGCAAGTGCCGCTTTGCCCAACACAAAGTGGATTTCTTAGGACACTACGTGTCTGACCAGGGTCTCCACATGGACGACGCGAAGATCACTGCTATTGCAGAGTGGCCCGCCCCCACATCCGCCAATCAGCTTCGCAGCTTCCTAGGCCTGACCAGCTACTATAGTAACTTCATTCGGAGATACGCTAGGTATTCCTACGTCCTTACCTCCACCCTCCTTCGGAAGAACCTACCCTGGGCTTGGACGCCCATCCACGAGGACGCCTTCCGTGCCCTCAAGAAGGCGGTGACATGCGCACCAGTTCTTCACCTACCCGATTTTGACCGCCCTTTTATCCTTACCACCGATGCGTCAGACTTCGCTGTAGGAGCAGTGCTTTCTCAGGTTTTCCCTTCCTCTCCTGATTCCTCTCATCCTCGTATCCCTCGCTTCCCACCACCTACCCCTACCACTGCTTCCCGACTGACGCCTACTCGTCCAGTTACTGACGAGCCTTCTATTGACTATTCTCCTACCATCGCCGAGGACGGCACTGTCGAGTCTCGCTCCGGTGATTGTCCGATAGCCTTCTACACCCGTCAGCTCCTGCCCGCCGAGAATAAACTACACCGCTGATGAACGTGAGGTTCTCGCAGTAGTTTATGCCGCTCGACACTGGCGTCACTACCTGCACGGGGCACCGTTCACGGTGCGTACAGACAACTCTGTTGTCCAGGCTTTTCTGACAAAACCGAAGCTCACTCCTCGACAGGCTCGCTGGTGGCGCGACCTATCCGAGTTTAGTTTCACCACTGAGCACATCAAGGGTGAAACTAATCGGGTCGCAGATGCCTTATCCCGACGCCCTGACCACGACCAGGAGCACATCCAGCTCTCTTCCATCTCGGTCACCACCGTCCACCACTCGGTGATCGACGAGTTTCGCACTCAGTACCGCCACCGCCCCGACTATCGCGMCATCCACGCGACCATTCGGAGTGGCAAGACCGTCCCGAACTACTCTCTCGGGGACAACGGTCTTGTGTACTGGCACGGTTCACAGGGCACCAGAGAGCCCCGTATTTGCGTTCCCTCCACTGGACAGCTACGTGTCCGAGCAGTAGCAGAGTTCCATGACCAGGCAGYTGCCGGTCATATGGGCTTCCACAAGACGTTGGCTCGTGTGAGCCGCCTGTACGTGTGGCCGAAGCGCAAGGACTTTGTGAAGGACTACGTCGCAGAGTGTCCGACCTGTCAGGAGGTGAACAGTGCGAACCACTTGCCTTATGGTTTGCCCCAGCCTCTTCCTATCCCTGAGGGTCGTTGGCAGTCCATCTCGATGGACTTTATCCGTCCTCTTCGTCCTCCGACCCCTCGCGGTCATGATGCTATCCTGGTCGTCGTCGACCGCTTCACGAAGCGTGCACGCTTTGTTCCGTGCCGCTATGCCATCAGTGCACGTGAGGTCGCCGACATCGTGTTCGACCGAGTCGTGCGTGACCACGGCTTACCTCTGAGCATCATATCTGACCGTGACCTGCGCTTTACCAGTCGATTCTGGCGACGGCTCCTCGAGGTATACGACACTCAGCTCTGCTTCTCCTCGTCTTACCATCCTCAGACTGATGGTCAGACCGAGATCACGAACAAGACTCTCGGAAATATTCTTCGAAAGATTGTTCGTGACGACCAGCAGTGAGATCTTCATCTTCCCCACGCGGAGATAGCCTACAACCACGCCGTCTCGCCAACCACGGGGATGTTGCCTTACTATTGCGACCTCGACTATCACCCTCGTGTTCCCACAGACTTCCTTTGACCGTCCCAGATGCACCCTGACACGAGTTGTCCAGCGCTGGATGATTGGGTTGCAAACATGACGTCGATTATGAAGACCGCACATGAGCACATAGTCGCTTCCCAGACTCGCATGGCAACACGTGCGAACCGATCGAGAATGGATCATCCATTCAAAGTCGGTGATGATGTGCTTATCGACGCCCGTCACTTACAGCTCGAAGCGGACACGCTTTGCAAGTTTTGGCGTCGCTTTTTTTGCCCATGCCGCATCCTCCAGGCCGTCGGTTCTGATACGGCATCTAGCCCGGTCAGCTTTCGTGTGAAGCTGCCCGACTACCTACGCCAAGCTCGTGTGCATGATGTCTACCACGTCTCGTTACTGCGTCCTTACCGCAGACCGTCTGAGCGTTTCGCTGGACGACCATACGAGCGCCATCCACCCATCATGGTGGACGGTCACGAGGAGTTCCGTTTCAGACATCATTGGTCGCCGAGTCACCGACGACAACCCTCCCCACGTTGAGTATCTCGTACGTTGGAAGGGTTACCCTGATGAGGAGGCTACCTGGGAGCCCCTCGAGCACTTGCAGCACGCTCGCATGTTGGTGCGTGCCTATAACCGTGCTCGTCGTTCTGGGTTCACTGCTCCTCCTCAGCCCACTGACCCTCCTCCTTCTCCTTCGGCTAAGGAGACCGCTGAAGTCGAGCCTGCCCTATCTGAGGCAGACCTTCAGCAGCAGCCGGATGCTTCTGGACGTCCACAGCGCACTCGTCGTCGTCCTGCTCGATACAACGATTGACTCTGACTTACCTTCCCACGTCTTCGACTTCTCAGTACTCCATCCACATCAGTTTTGCTACTTCAGCTCGTCGACGCTGCGGCTCTTCCTCGACGACATTCCGGACTTCTCATCTTGGACGTCATCGGCAGCTTCATGGACTTCATCACGATCATCTCTGCCTACTTCAGACGACGCCACTCTCTTACCACTCTACCCTGTACAGTACCCTGCTTGTGTCGCATGATGGTCTCCCTTTAGCCGGGTTCCTCTGAGTTGGGCTCTCCCTTGGTATACGCATAGGCATCAGGATGGTAGCGTTGCCCTGGCTTCCCATCTTACGAATCTAGCTCCGACTTCCCTCACTTTAGGAGTCATTTGCATGATTCCGTCACCCATCATCTTTCTACCCTTCGCCGGCCCTCACGCCCTAGTTAGGCAGCCCCGCATGCTTCATCTAGGTGCACCCAGTATACCAGGCTCCCCTGTTCCTTTGCATGGTCGACCCTCCATAGCGGTCACCCCTTAGTCGAGCATTACCCGCCTAATGGTCTACCTGTTAGGGTCATTGGTTCTGTTCGCTCTCAGTTCCCTACCCTCATTGAGCCTGATGACATGTGTCTACCTGTTATCTATGTGTGGATGCCCTTAGGATTTTTCGACCCCTAGGCTGCATTCACCACCCTCAAAGACCATCCCACCCTTTGGTTTGCGACACACTTCTCATGTGACATATGATAGACTTGTTGTTGCTTTGTTGCTCGCAGACTGAAGCTACTGCCTCTGACATTTCTAGGATTTAGTTGTTCTGCTTTTGCTATTCTTAGGACTTATACATTAGTCAGTTGTTACCAGACTGAGGCTAGTGCCTCCAACATTCTAGGATCTAGTTGTCACTACTTTCTGCTTTCCTAGGACATGTATGCTAGTTAGTTGTTTTTGCTTTCCTAGGATATGTATGTTAGTTAGTTGCTTCTGCTTTCACTTAGGCTGTTAGCTGTGACATTGCTGTTTTGTGACATTTTATATCCTAGGTCGCATCGCATGGACTCAGCATGGAGCTTGCTCCGCATCCTAGACTACTAAGGTTTTCTTTTCTTTGGTAGAGTTCTGCTTCTTGGCGGAAGCATGTTTGTATCTAGGCGATCCATCACAAGCCGAGGATCGTGTAGCGGACCTCGGGTTGGTCTGTGAGACCAGCCCCTTGGCCTGTTCTCACAGGCCTGTGTTGTATTCGGGGTAGGCCAGTCCAAACCGGTACCTCTGTCGGTACCAGCCAGTCCAGTCCAGTCCCGTCAGTCCACTGGGGTATACCCCAGCCATTGTCTGTTTTCACTCTCATTCTTGACTTGCACGTTTTTGGAGTACGTGCGTTGGAGTCCTGCGTGGGAGTTGTGTTGTGCGTCATCTTGCTCCCCCCTTTCCTCCTCCATCTCCATCTCTACCACTAGCGGAGCACCACACCTGGTGGGTCCGCTACATTTGGGGGAGGGGGATGAAGGGAATAAAAGAGAGTTTGGGATGTGTGGTCGTGAAGCGGGCAGTGCTTGCATAAAACTATCGGTTTAGATCCATTTGTTGTTCGAAATTCCGAAGTGGCAACTCTTGGAAATGGTCACAGGTGGCCGAAGCCCTGTGTGCGTCCTCCTAGACACAGAGTACCAACTGCTATAGCACCTTACTCCCCTAAATAACTTCCCTAACATCATGAATTATGAATGTGTGCCGACCCTTGTTTTTCTACCAGTGGAATACGATGCTAAACTTACTTTTCTTACGACTTTCCTCTCTTTTCTGGGAACACCGATCGATTCTTCTGTGGTTTGTCTTTTTTATATTATTGGTGCGCTTTCACTTTTGTTTGGCGCGCTCTGCTGGATCGTCATGTATGCACTGCTGCCGCTCATGTCTATTCCACCTGGTTAATGAGTCAATGTCTGCCGAGGTCTGAGGGCACGTTTTTTGGGCGATTTGACTCATGGAGCTCTTTGGAATGTATCTGGCCGCCATTGCAGCTAGATTCTGTGGAAGGAGTACACCTGAGAGCACGCCCTCATTGTAACCTACCGTGTTATTTGCGGAACTAAATGTCGTTAGCTCCTCTGTTGCATTGATCATTGTTGGTCATCGTATGCGGAAAGTAGAGGAGGACTGGACTGAAAAACTCGCAGGAGCGCTCTGAAGCACAATCGGTTTGGTCAATTGATCGATCAATTGATCGACTGATTAATTAAACTTAGTACCAACTTCCCCCTAATGGAACTTTCAGTCGGTAAAGTTGCATTTGGTGCAACTTTCAGCCTGATACAACCATAATGACGGTACGTTCCACTCGGGGAAAGACGATCGGCGAACTGATGTTGGGAAAAGATAAATTGGTTCCCTCTGTATAGCAATCCGCACTGTCATGGGGATTCATAATGAAGGAGTCACTATCATATCATATTCGTATCGTCCCCGTATGTCGATATCGACAACAAAAGGCATCATCTTATCAGTACCGTCTCATGATTTATAAGTTTCTGCTAAGTGTTTGAACTCCCTCTTTGGCTGTCGCGGACAAATGTGTGCAAGGTGTGTTCGGGGAGGGGGAGTGGATATCGGACGATCAAAGCACAGCCATAAAGTTATGACAAGGGGGGTGAAAAGTTAAGAGAGTGAAGGGTCGTCTCTCTCTCTCTACCTCTATCTCTCTCTTTCTCCCTTTCTCCCTCTCCCTGCCTTTGTATTCCAATAAAATTACTTTTTTTTTTTTGGAGGTCAGCGCCTACCCTTGTGCTCCCCACCATTCGCATGCTGCATGTTGCAAGTTTCTGTCTCTCTCTCTCTCTCTTTCTCTCTCTCTCCCTCTCTCTCTCTCTCTCTCTCTCTCTCTCTCTCTCACACACACACACACACACACACACACACACACACTCTTCGAGTTGTGTAAAGCGAACATGACAAAACAGAGAATAAAGCACCAACTGGGACCCTGACACATACTCTTCGAGTTCTGTAAAGCGAACATGACAAAACATAAATAC